AAGCTGTTTTCTTGTGATGTCTCAGAATAATAAGAAAGTTAGAAATGGCAGAAACTCCTCTGTAGATTAGTCCATAGAAAGCATTGTCTCATGGGGCTTTGGAAAAGTCCTGTCTGGTGGCTAATACACTAGGGCATGATGAGATACATTACAGAGCCCCCAGGCCAGTAACTTCTGAAGACAGCCTAAAATGTAGGAACAAAAATGAGGAAAAGAAAAAGAAAAAAAAAAAGGGGCAGAAAAAAAAATCTTCTCACTATTAAAAAAATAACACTTGAGTACAACCAGCATAGAACAGCATTGCATTTCAGTGCAGGCAAGTTCTCTCACACAGAGCTTGGTGGTTTGAGTTCTTTAAACGTCAGTTATTTAAACAGTTACAGTAGTCCAGAACAATTTTACAGCAGTTTTTTAGAGCTTTAAAGTAGCTGAGGTACCTTGACATTATTTCCAGTTGTTCCTTCAGTATATACAAACCAAACCAAACCAAAAAAAGCCCAAAAGAAAAGAAAAACCAAACCAACAAAACCAACCAAAAACCCCATTTGGATAAGTGCAAACTGTAACAATGGCGGTTCTACAAACGGTTACAGTGACAAAACTTAGTGCAAAGGTACTAAGGTGAAGAAAAGCCCACAGAATACAGACACAAAATACTGAGATAGTACTTAGCCCTATACAATAATCATCACACACTTTGAAATACCATGTTTTAAAAAGTATTGCGTTTGCATTGTGTTTTCAGTTTATATTAAAATGCACTGAATACAGTTCAATTGTTAAAGCTTTGTGTCCAAGGAGTGCAGAGTGGATGAACATAGCGGGCTAATGGGATTCTGGATTTGGAAGTGGTGAGGAAAACAATATTGCATTACTGAGTTATGCAACAGAAATTAAAAAGAAGGTGGATGGACAAACAGAAAATGCAGTTAAAACCTAGTTCCAACAGCTAGCAACCAGCCATTGCATCACCTGCCTCTCTTCTGCTTTTAGTTAATCTGAACTAATTATTAATTCTCATTAAAGGGATGGTGCCTGCACAGGCAGCAGCCTTTGAATGTCCTTTGATAAGCACTAGATTTGTCATTATAGTACAACCCAATTGCGTGATTAGTGGCAAGTTAAACAGTGATGTATTTTGTACAGAAACCTAACAAACACGATGGTCATTTTGGCTGCGCAAAATATACGCAGGATAGCAATCATGCATGTCTTAATTCGTACCTACTAGTAAGTACTTAGAGAAATAAGTACTTTGTCGGTGTATATATATACAAGTAAAAAAGTGCAAAAGGAGGAGCCTGCTTTTTCCTCCCTAAAGGAGAGTTCTTAAATTTACATTTTTGCAGGCCAGAGAAAAATGGTTACACACTTCAAAAGAATGAAGTGCAATGGTTCAGGTGCCTGCTGTGTTCCCCCTCTTGTCTTACAATCATTTTAATTCAGCAGTTTTCCTCAGACCAGAAAGTGTAAGTCCCTGATGTTCAGTACTTTCTAGACCCAGCCTCCTGCTTGCAGGCTGGTGTTGGGGCAAGGGGAGTCTTCAGGCCTGTGGAAAGCAGCAGGATGAGTGAGGGGGCCTGCACTTCACGTGGGTTTTTGGGGTGCTAGCAGTCATCAGAACTGCCAGAAATTTAGGAATCCCTAGCCATAGAAATATTCATCCATATCCCAGTTTGCCATAGGAAATTGTTTTGTGGTTAGAGGGATCGCTTCAAATGGGTTCGAGTGTTTTGATGTGCCAGGCAGTTTGCTGGAGCAGGACCTGGCTGCCACAATTTGGCCTCATTCATGTGTTTCCTTTCTTCCCAGGTTTCTCCTTGCTGGGGTGTCAGAAGGATGGACTCAGGCTGCCAGGGAGAGGCCGGAGGCTAGCGCCTGCCTGCTGTTGGAACTAGTTGTTAGGTGGTGCCCGGGTGTTAAGTCGTTATGGAGAGTGGAAGACGACTTGAGCCGGCAACAGTTAACACTAGCAATTTAACAGAAACTAAAAAGATGCCGTATTGTTTCCTTGACAACTAGAATCTACCACAGACTCTTGGCAGAGCTGGCAAAGCTTGCATTTGTGTCTCATCCCTTCAATATGGAGCAAACTTCTGGCGGTCAGATTTCTTAACCCCGCTCGTCGAAGGAATTTTGGCAGTGTAAGCGGACAAACTCCCCGTGGCCCCCCCAGCGGCCGCGGCATTTAGTGCCAGGAGTGGGACAGTTTTCATGCCAAGCAGACTGGAGACAGGAACGGCATAGTGGGTGGTTGGCAGAGTTGGTAGGGGAGGGGGGGTACTGACGGTAACGGCGGAGGCGGCCGCCAGCACGGCCATGGAGGTGGGGGTGGAGGTAGGGGTGGCAGACTGAGAGAGGTTCATGTTGAGGTCAACAGGGGTCGTGACGGAAGCGGTCTGGGTGCTGACTTTAGCCATCTCTAAGCTGCAAACGAAGAGAGGAAGAGGAACAAACAGGTTGGGAGGGTCCAGCCAGGGTGGGGGGGCCAGGAGGAGGACGAGGAGGAGGAAGGGATGGAGGGACAGCAACCACGTAAGGGCAGGATTAGATCGGTGGGCGAGGGGAGACAGACGAGTGGGAGGGAGAGGAGGGAGAGAGAGAAAAAAAGGGAAAATGAGGGTCAAAGGAGGAACATGTTATGTGTTAAAGAAGAGAAATAACAAAAGGGTTTTTCATGATTTGGTGGTGAAAACATTACTGAGACTATAAAGTTCTTTCAATAAACAAAAAGGCGGGGGGGTTGCTAGTTCGTTTTACAGATGAGAAAAGAAATCTAAGGAATGCGGGAAATGGCAAAAAGATGGAAAAAACGAAACTTAAGAAAACTTAAAACAACTATGGAGTTTACTCCCCAGCACTGATAGGGTGAATTCTGCTTTTCACAATTACTGTGTTTTTGACAGGGGGACGCGGGGGGTTTTGGCAATTTGTCCAATTTGTCAATTTTGGGACATAAATAGAACCCTTTGTCATTTTGTTAGGATGAGAGGAGACTGAGCAATGATTTGCTGCTTCCATCTAAGGCATGAGGTTTTGGTTGCTTTTTAGAGAATCAAAGGTCAGTGTGCATTTTTCATATAAAGCAAACCAGATTAGCCAGTGTGTTCACTTGGGTTTGTACATTCCCAGGACGGTTTTTTCCTTTAGATCGCAACAAAATATTGATGCAATCTAATCAGAAGGAAATTAGTAACAAGAAAGACTGGAAAACACCCCGGCTTCCACAGCAGTGGAATCCTTTCTGAGCTTGTGGCAGCAGTTACAGTGAACATAAAAGAGCTTACCAGCTGACAGACAAGGTACTACTACATGAATACAACATAGACATCATCAGACGGACCCCGCGAGTACAAGCAAGTTCAGATTGACCCGACCTCTGAGCCCAAGGCAGGGATGGGCTCTTTGGAGGATGTAGGTACCAAACGACCTTCAATTTAGTCTAACATCACCCCACTGGCAGGTGAGATCAGTTTGGCTCACATACTTGGGCTTTTCTGTACATTTTCAGACATTAAGTACAGCAATTCCAAGGACGCATTAGTTTTTTCATATGGCAGCATGTCTACGTAGATAAACCCTCCCTCTGCTGTTTGTTGCAGCTTGTGCACTAGCTTTCGGGTCAGCAAACAACATAAACACTGATTTCAGGATGCATTTTGCATGTGACTGGCTGGGAGGTATGGCAGCCTAGCAGCGTAACTAGGACTATCCCAAGTCTGGGTATATTTTCAGTAGTTACTAAGTTGTCCGTCTCCTGGGCTTTCTCCTGAGGAGAGCTGAGAGGCTGCAGCAGCTTCTCCCTCCCAGAGTGGAGTGCCAGGGAGCTGTCAGCTGGCTGTACAGGGGACCTGGGTGCAGGACCTGCTGCTTCTGTATCAAATCCCACCAGGCCCAGGGAAGCTCCCCAGCACAGGGTTCTGTGCTAGTCCCAGTTGGCACTGTGGGCTGGGGGTGCAGGCTTTGAGAGCCCCTATGGCCAGGCTGCTGGTTGGGAAGGGAGCATAGCCACCCTGTGTGGGGCTTGGAGGAGCCTTGCTTTTCTGTATCTTAGACTTACTGCAGTTTTGAGAGTAACAACCCCTGGTCTACTCATGGCCTGAGTAAGGCAATGACCATAAGAGGTGCCCTTTCTGCAAGGGCAAAAATGCAGGTGATCAGCCAGCACTATACAGGGGAGGGGGATGCTGGACTAGAGCTTCCCAAAGCACTGCTGCTAAGTCTAAAGGATACTTGAAGCAGGTCTGAGCTGGGGAGAGGCACATGGAGGAGAGAAGGAAATGCGTAAGCACCAACTCCTCTCTTCCCCACAAAAGAGGGTTCTTGGAGTGCCATCTCCTTGGCAGCCTTTTCTGGGATGTTGGAAGGTGCACATCTCTGAGGGACTGGGAAAGGGGTAAGGGCAAGGGTGTGAAATGCAGACCCATTCGTGAGAGGTAAAGCTTTGGGCTTTCCTGCCAGGTGTGTTTATCTGTCCCTGTGGGTGACCAGCTTAGAATTTTTCTCACCCTCACACTAGAGTTGTTCTCTGCAGAGAGAAGAGCATCCTCGTGCTGTTAGCCAGGCTACTTGCAATCTACTCGCACAGTGGGATTTACATCAAGAACACTGAATCAGTGAATCCAACCCCAGTGTATGTCTGTAACTTAGGGAGTAGGAGTTGACTTACATAGTGACACCTCAGTACATTTTGAAAAGCTCAGTTCATACAGTTGGATGTTTTTATACTTCTAACTTGCTATTATTCTGGGAGGGAGATGTACAGAAAGATAATGCAGGACTCAGTGCTTCAGTGACTCCAAATTTGCGTGTCTTGCATTTAACAAAAAGTCCTTACTTATACAGGGGGTATTTGAGCCTGAGCTGTTCGCTGCACCAGCAGGGAGAGTAGATCCCACAGGATAAACACTGGTGTTGGTAGCAGCCACTCAAATTCTTGTCTCTGGTGTATTTGCACAAGTAAATTTAAAGTAATGTGCCCAGCTTCACACTTGAGTACATCAGGTCAGCTGTCAGCTGTCCTGTGACACGGGCAGTTCCTCAAACCAATTGTATGTACAACAAAACTGAATGTGAAGGTGGATGAGGTGGCTTTCATATAGTATTTCATGGTGCCAATTTTACCCTGTCCCTTTGAAGCGCTGTACTTTATGAATTTATGCACATCCTGCATTACCCAAACCTGGTGAAAGGAATAAAGCTTGAGTCTGGCTTTGACGGTCCTGTTAGCTCTGTGGATGAACCTCATCAACATGGTAGTAAATAAACATCTTCAGGAAACTGCTCTTCAACAAGGAGCAAGTGCTGCTGGCTACAATTCGTTTATAGTCCAAAGTCAAATATTACACAGGAAACCTTCTTAATAAAAGCTAGAAGATGGAATTGGATAATGAAAATCCAGTTACTACAGTGGAGAGCAGTTAAGAGACAGAAGATTTTACAGGAAAAAAAGACACTTCTACTGCAAACAAGCTAGCACACAGTCTACTCATACAGAGGTCAGCGCTCATGTAATCAATACAGAATCAAAACAATACTTTAGAAAGATTTAAATCTCTGTCTTGATATTGTATCAATGTGTATATATATATATAATTTAGAGTATATTATGTACATATTTGACACCAGATTGCAATAAAAATCTCTAAACAATTTGATAAATTACTCTATAGATGGCAACTTTGGTTGGAGGATAGTTTAAAGATACACACAATGTTTTAGGAATACAGTGGATAGTTATTTTTTAATATCCTATGCTGCTGTGAGGCATTGATTTATGCAGAAATACTTGCCCTGGAAACCAAATCCATGAGAATGACAGGACTTGTAGGGGAGATTAAAAAAACCCACCTTACCCTGAATACTTATATGGCTTTTATTTGTTATAATTCATGTTTAGACATAGCAGACTATACATGGAGGAGTCTAGGTACTGTACTTAGCTCTTCCCCAACACTATGTCATGCCAGCATCTTTAAAAGAGGGCAGTACTTGTGGCAGGCTTAGGACTGACAACACTAAAATTGACCCCCAGCATACACAGGCAGCAGTAGCGCAGTGCTGCCTCTGAGAAACCTGCCCAAGAATCTAAACCCCAGCTAGAGCAGAGCTCCCTCTTGCCTGCACATTTCTTGGTTCTTGCTCCAGTGTGACTGTGAACTAACACTGCTACTGCAGTAGCACCTAACTGGGCAGGAATCTCTCTTGTGAAAGGAGAAATCTGGAACAGTGTCACTTCTTAAAATAAATAAAGCCACCTTAATGTCCTATGGTACCTTACAGCTTAATTTATTATACATTACTTTAAGAGTCTTCATTTACAAATGAAGTCACTTCATCTAAATACAGTTTCAACACATGGTACATAATAATATATGATGGTTTATTGTAGATGATAGTAACAAATGATTTCTAGCTAGAAGTTCAACAGGAAGAAAATATTTTGTTTCTGGTTTCACAGGGTATATAGATAGAGTATCCATGGTATATATGACTGCTGAGAAGTTTTCTTCTTTTCAAAAGTATCTTAAAAGACCTCATATATATCCCATTCCATCGAAAGAATCATTAAACAGTAATAAACAGAAGTGTGAGAGTTCACAGGCTTTTCTAAAGTGAGTCAAACAGGTTTGTTCACTAGAGTTTCTGTCTCTGGTGAGCAGCTCAATGCAACTCCATTAATAAGTGCATTATATTATTTGCATGCTTTAGCTGTCTTGAAGATCTTAAATTGTTATCTTCTGAGGTCCAGATGCATGCCATATGGTGTTTGTGCAACTAAAAATGAAGGGGTCTATTCTCGTCTCGATGTGTGGGGAATCCCTGAACACCAAGAGAAGAACATATCCTTAAGGGTTAAAGGAGGGAACACATTTTTATTTGATTACAGGGCTTATGGAAGTGACTTATATTTGCTACAAAGAATATAAATCAAAAGAGCTGTAGGTTGTTTTAGGATTCTGGAAATGGCTTATCTTAGGCTTCACAACGCCACCCTCTGTATAGCTTTCCCTAGGAAACTACTTTCAAACTTAATTATAGAAAGTAGTATTTTTGTTTGCTGTAACACAGAACTGCACAAACATCCTTTACCTCCATTAAGACATTTACAGTGGCTCGCAGTTGTACACCACAGAACTAGGCTGGAGGAGGCTGGACCACAGGAGGCTGTAGACCTGTTATGACTACAGCCCCCCATATAAATCACATACTTTCTACTACCTTAAGAGCAAACATAGTCAAACATAAAGCTTGATTCATATCACAGTATTTTGGGGGTAAAATATGAAAAAAAAGGCAATAAAAACCAGATACTCTCCTCCCCACAACATGTTGCCTCGGTCTAACATTTACAAGTACCTCTATGAGACAGCATTGTATTATCCATTGCACGTTCTCATAATAATTGCAAATAAAGGTGGTATCAATTTCAATAGTTTTCTAAATAATCATATCAAACTGATAGAGACTTAAGCCATCTCAATGGCTCAGCTAAACAGCCAGTGCTTTTATTCATTCTGGCACCGAGAATTGATGCAGCAGAGTCTCACCCCATCTCATTAGGGAATTCTTTCTACAAATTTGTGATGCTGTCTCTGAAAAAATAAATTCCTTTCCTCTTCAGCAACCAAATGTCGGTGTGACAGCAACGCTCAGTGGCAATATCCAGCACGAAAATTAAATCCGTGTTGCAATCTGTTTCACTATATTTGCCACTTAGGACAGTAAAATGGATCTGTGAGAAGTATTTTCTTCTAAAGAATCTGTGATCGTAATTTCGTTTCATTTATCCACCTGTACTTTAGGTGGATGCTAATATGAATATTCAGATTTTTCAGCTTTTGTCATTCAGTATGTACTCAGAATTGCACCAGATTAAGCTCCTTTCCAAATAAACCAACAGCAAACAGTTTCTAATGATACAGGCTTTACAAATCATTAGGAATTGAGTAATACTATGCAAAGTGGACACTGCAAAGCAGCTTTCTAGATCTATCCAGGACAGACATTTGCTGGAGAGCAGACAGCAATCTCGCAGAAGCATTATCACTTACAAAGCAAACTTACCTTGCATTAATGAGGTACTGTGCTAAGCTGATGTTTGCAGGGGATCCTGTGATTGTAACTTGTCGTTCTGCGGAGCCTTCTGTGGCATTAGCAATCTTGATCTGCGCTCCTGACATCTGCCTGATTTCATTTATCTTACTGCCTTGTCTGCCAATAATGCAGCCTATTAACTGGAGCGGGACAAAGACTGAAATTAGTGCCACAGACACAAGCAAAAACCACTAAACTGCAATTTGTAGTATTGCTAACAACATGGTTATGAAAAATTCAGTATCGAAACAGAAGATTTTTGCTGTGCTGTTTGGAAGGAATAACTAACACAGTCTATAGGTTCTATGGTCATATGTCCTTACATCAAGTTTCGCTGCTACATGGTTATCAACTCAATACTGGGCTATTTTGCTACGATGTTCCATGGCAGACAATGACAGCATGCCATGGTGCTGACAAATACAAAATACAACCCAGCCTGACTCACCAGTGGCAGCAGCAAGCCGAGAGCTGCAGCTGGAAGTCAGGCTGAGCATCCAAAGCTGCCACCATGCAGCTCTGCACTGTCCCAACACACTGCTAGTCCTGGAGAAATGTCCCTGGGCACACGTGGTCCTCTCTTGGCCAGGTACTGCTCTATTAGTATCAGTGGGATTTACAGCTGTGTAACTGTGGGGAGAAGCAGCCACAGGAAGAGACAGAAACTCTTATGTGTTCCTTTAGAGAAACTTACCAAAACACCTATTTTGTGAATAAAACTGAGCCTGAGCTCTGTGTGTGTGTCCCTAGATCCCTCAGTTATTTTGGTAAAATGCCATTGGTGTTACCTTCAAACAGCAGTGTTTTAGATGCTTTTGGCAGAGTCAAAGGTTTTTGTAAGCTGTGTGCATGACCTCGAGGCAGTGTTTAGCAGCACACATAACTTCAGCTTGGGTAAGGGAGTGTGACTGATAGCTGTGGCAGGGCGTTGCTACCTGCAGCACAGGCAACAAGAGCAAGTGGGCACCAAGCCATCAGCTGAGGCTCCATTGTTTTAACTTACGTAAGGGTGAGGAGGGTGATTTGTGTTAAGGAAGGGTAGGTGCTGAGAAGGTCAGCAATGGCCAGAATGGGTAGAAAATGGGAACCTTGCTCTACAGGTCTCTTGACATTGGGATGAGATTGCCAGTTTGGCAGAAGGATGTGACAAGATGCAAAGGCTGCCTTCCCCTCCCACTCTTCCTGCTGCTTCAGGTCCTGACATACCAAGCTTTCTGGTACTATAGTACTTGGAGTATCTTGCCAGAAACACACTCACATTATCCAAATATCACGAGAAGAACCCCTTTCCCTCAATGTAATTCCTGCTTCATGCTCAGGGACAAGCAGAAAGCCAAAGCAGGTATTTGGGTAGCCGAAACAGAGACCAAGCACAAGAGGAGCACCCACGAGCGAGGAAAACAGGGTTTCAGGAAACACACAAAGGATTTCCCATCCTGTTCAAACAGGAGGGCCTCGCTGATCTCCCTGTCCTTATCCCAAGGACCTGTCTTAATATGCGACTGCACACATCAGTGCAGAGGAGCTATGTGAGCTTCACCAGCAAGCCCCTAGCCTGTCCCTCTGTGCACATGAATGTGCCTGCATACGCCCGATGTCAGCAGCACAAGGAGCCTTGTGCATCTGCTTCCTACACCTCACTGGCATGCAGAGTCCGTAGGTAATGAGGGTGAAGCAGGAGAGCAGAGCGCCCAAAGGCCACATGGAGAAGGCACTTGCCAGGTCACTCAGGAGGCTGCCACTTGCATGTGCTAGGGGTCTTCCAATGAGGCTTGTAACCCAGATGGGGCAGTACAAAGAATTTGCAATGTCCTGCCTGACTCTGAGTTAAGTAGCAAGGATTCAGCCCAGACCAGTCAAGGATATTGGTGATGCAAGCTTCTGGGAGAGAGCTTTGGTAGCCTTCAGTCTGAAGCTCAAAGTCATCCTCTGCTGCTGTGACAGTGGGATGCCTCAACATGCTCTGCAAGCTGTGACACAGCTCATGCAGAGTGCACTTCCCCCTTTGCAATGCAGGAAGGACAGTAGCGTTGGGGTGCCTGGGCCCTCTCTGGGGTGCCTCTTCCATTGTGAATTACACTGAAATGTGTGTAGTATCTGAATGCTGAAGGGCTGATGGAAGTTCTTGAACTATGTTTTCATCTACAAAGTTTTGCCCAATCAGGCCACAGACATTTGGTTTTACATAAAAACACCTGTCCTGCCTTGTACTGAGATGAAGCTATGTTAAGTTGCATCCAAACACGTATCTCTTCAAGACTGCCCTTTCTAATGCCACCAGCTGCCCCCCGTTCCTAACGTTGTTCTGTATCTGGCCATTTCACATGATTCAGCAGGCTATGTGCAATTCAGTCCCACAAAAGCAAGCTTCCCCAGACTCTGAAAGTTGCTACCTTGCATGTAATGCTCTGTGTTTCACAGACATGGGTTTGCTGCTTTCCCCAGCTCCAGGCAGACCAAGTTAGGGAATGTGGAAGGCAGCAAACATAGAGCTGTTTTCAAGGACTTCAGGTGCTGCATTATTTTTGATGCTTACCTGCTTGCTCAACATAAGTGAGCCTCACTCTCACACACAGAGTGAATCACGAGGAAAACAAGTGATAAAGCTGCCCCATGTAAGACAGGAGCCAAACCTACTATGGACTACACCAAGGCTACTATGCACTGTAGTATAATACATATTATATATATATATGTATACTATTATAATATGCACATATGTACAAACACACAAACAGAATACGTGTATGTATATGTATATATATATTTTAATACTCTGACTATGGCAGCAGTGCATGCCTACAAAAAAAAAAGACAGAAACAATGTGAGGTATAAAACTAAGTTTCCACTGGTATCCCAAATTCTCACCTAAGCCTTACAGACTACCTGAGCAGCAGCTTGTACCTCTGCCGTTATGCTCTAGTAGAAGGCATCCCTGCCCACGGCAGGGGGTTGGAAGTGGATGATTTTTAAGGTCCCTTCCAACCCAAACCATTCTACGATTCTATAATGGTCTACCGTGATCTGTTCCATCTCAAACTCTTGCTGCTCGTAGTCTCTCCCAGTAAGCTATCTCTGGTTCAGGTCCCTCTCTTCAATTTTTCTTTCTTTACCATAACACAAATGCTAAATATATGTATATTTTCCACATAATGGTAAAGTCACTAACAGAGCCTAATAGTAACAGCTTTCTTTTAGATATTTCCTCCTGGCTTGATCCTCTCTGCATTATGTCTGTGCTGCACTGGGAGCAACCAGAGTTTTAGGCTTTATTATCCAAGTACCATGCTGCAGAGTATTGCTTGTCACAGGAAGTGGCACGGAGCTCACTTTCATTTTAACTACTAGTAAAATAATCAGATTCCTTCCTTATAATGAATGTACTGTTGGTAAAAAGGGCCAAAGAAGTAGCCTGTGCAGGTTGGTATCTGCTGTCAGGAGCAGAGAGGTTGACCATACTTGTCCATAGGTACATGTGGTTCCCCTTGGCTCCCCGCTGCCAACTCAGCACAAGTCCATTGGCTTTGGCAAAGCCTTTGCATTAGTTGAGTAAGCAGATGCTCGACATGAAGAAGAATCTTCAATTGCTTTTCATAAAGACATAGGCTTTCTCAGTTCCAGGTAAGGGAAGAAACGCTGGGTATGATTACAGCTCTTTACAGACTTACTGCGGTGCCTGCAAAGAGATGCTTCAATACTGTGCCTCTTAAAACCAGTAACAACAATAATAAACTTCACTTTCCTTGCCAGGATAATGCAAAATTTGGACTACAATAATTTCACAGGCCTTGCAAGAATGCAGATAGAAAACTGGGAAAACATGCTCAGAAATGAGCCTTTCTATTACTTGCTTTGTACCCAAAATGACTCTGCAGATTTGTATGTCCCATCCTGCTCCCTCAAGTGAGAGGTGGCTCTGGTGGGTAACTACTTTTAATGCTAAGTAGTGTCTTGTCACACAAATGGAATCACTTTGTTTCTCATGGATATTAAGTCTACTGATTCTTGAACTCATCTGAAAAAGTCTGCTTAATGAATCAAATGCCGTTCTCTTAGATTAAGGGGGGACAAAAATCAGGCCATGTGCAGACATATAAAATTATTATATTTTTTTAAATGAGATATGTCCTTAAACATTCTTCACTGACAGAATATGGTTAATTCTGTATTTTTGCTCTGTGCATTAGGTCTCTGTTACATGGGAGGCTCTGAGTAGTAAGGTAAATTTGTTGAGGTTGAATCCACAGATCCCTTGCCTTCAGTAGAAGTGCTTCGACTTGAACTACTGCAGGGCCTCTCCCAGCACATCCTGTGTGGATTATTAAGGCTTTGCCTAATCTTACCCCCTCTCCAATGGCTGGGAAGTTTCTGAGCTGGGGGGCACTTAGCCAGCAGCTTAGTTTTACAAAAGCAGGGCATTTATTCTCAGGACTTCTCTGGAAGAGGGCTGCAGGGAGGTTAAGGTGCACTTCTCCTGCATGGTCTATGTGGTGAGTGGCCTTGCTGCAAGCCACAGATAGGGTCAGACGCTGCCCTTATGTTCTCCTTAAAGGCTGATTCTCATCACTGCAGGCTATGGATCTGGGATCTGCAAAGATGGGAGCTCAAGTGACAGCTGGTGGAAGAGGCAGTGATACACAGATCTCCTGGATTATCTGGTGGAGCTGATGCTAGATTTCACTGTGGGCTGCTCCAAGCACACTCTGCATATGTGGGTCCTCCTCTGTTATTTACAGGGAAGTACTCCCGGCTCCCTGGGGAAATAAAGGCAGTTCTTCAGTATGCCATGTCCAACTCAGATGGATTGTCATTTCTGTTTCTTTGGAGTACTAAACAGATTTATAGCTTTCTTAAAATGCTCTTGGTGCTTTCTGAGGGGGAAGCTGTTTTCCTGTCACTCACCTCTGCCTGTCTCTCCCACACATATGCAAAATAAGGATAATTTTTAATGGAACAGACTTTTTTCATTATTGATTTGTTCATTTATTCTCAGTGGGCATTTGGGGGGACTGGACCATGAAGTCTTAAGATATCTGCCATCTGTGCCCAATCAGCTACACTCAGGGGCACCATCCTTCCTGTTCCCTTAAGGACCCGCCAACTGTTAATGCTATTTTATTCTGGGATTTATGTGAAACGCACCTTGTGTAACCTAGGCAGCAGTGGAAGGCCAGACAAGATCTCAGCAAGGAAAGAAAGGCAACTAAATGCCCCTATAACAGGTTTTGCTGAGGAAAAAGTAATACCAGATAAAGATCAAAGTGACTTCTGAGAGGGACCTGGAGAAAACATCCTCTCTGTTATCTTTTTAGAGATACCCAGAAGTTATGAGAAAACCCACAAAGGCAAACCTTCTGAACGCATTATTTGGAGAGGAAGCCTCAGCTTTTAGCATGTGGAAAATAACTTTCTAAAAAATGCATCTTTTGTTCTCCAGTATCTCTTTGTTATTGAGCAATAGGTTACTTGCCGTTATCAGCATACTGTATGAAGACAGCAAGATGATGTTGTTACAGGAATTACTAAGAACAAAAAAAATCTGTCACTGCCTTTAATGACAGAGAGTAAGGAAAACTTTACTGGGAAGCTATGCAAATTGCAATGGCTATGAATATCTCCTTCCTGTAGAGTGGGCTAAAGTCTGAGCTCCTTACCCTCTTTATATCTTCTTTTGCTCCATCAGATTCTTCCTGAGGCTTTGACTTTACATGTTTATCATTAGTTTGGTTTAAAAAAATAAGTGTAGCACATGTATATATACCTAACATCTCTGATAGCTGCAGAACATGTAGATACTTGCAAGTCTCATGCTCTTCTTCGTGCTGGACTTTTGCACTCATAAGCACATATAAGAAAAGCAGCGGACTTAATGCAGCAGTGGGGATCTCTGGAGCTTGGGCAGCCACAGGGCAGCCTCCTTTAGTTTCAACTAGATAAATAATCACCATACCACACTGCCTGCCCATCTATCAAAACCGGGACTATAGGCTTATCAGGAAAGCGAAGTCAAAACTACCCATGCAGGCTTTGCTGCACAAGTGCTGTTGCCTCTCCCATCCTGACCTCCCTCTATGCACAGCATCTATGCACACATGAAACACAGGTGCTGGCACCTTCTTACTCTGCTTCTTTGCCTCATGTTGCTCTGTTTCCCTCATCTCCTCATTTTTGGCACTGCTGCAGCGGTGACGGGGCTGCAGGACACTGGTATGCACAGTGATGCTGGCAGACCCCAGGGATGGTACCCTCTTGCTGCTGCAGCCTAAGGATAGGCCGGCAGGGCACTGCTGACAGCCCGGGCCACAGGCAGAGTGGATGCCTCAGGGAGACACGCAGGGAAACTGCAAAATTCCCAAGCAGCCTCTGATGCCCGGCAGGAGATGAGAGCCCTTTCTTCCCTCTAAGCCAGCACTGCAGCACTGGGTGCACACACATGCATGCACGCAGTGCAAGTGGGCAGTACTAAAGCCTTTTGGTCATGTAATACACGCCTTGACATCACAGAAACATCAGAACTCCCTTTTATCACCTGTAGAGCCCCTGGAGGCTGTTTCTAACCTGAACAACATTTTGGCCTTGGTTTTGCTTCTTTAGCAACAACCACAAGACACACACTGCACAGCCAGTAAAACCTTCTATTAGAAACAATGCATGGATGTGTGTTTGCTTTACAGATGCTGAGCCAGGGCATTTCATACCTCCTGGATGAGAAACTGATGGGGTTTTTAATTTTCTACTACACTACAGGACACAAGGCCAGCTTTCTCTTTCACTGCTATAAACCCTGAAAGAAGTGAAGTCAGAAGAGTGACCTTGGATTTATATCAGTGATGGCAAGAACAACATCTTCCTGAAAGTGAGATTAAAAAACTTGCACTGTAAGGATAAATAGGGTGCTCCCATAAAATTCTCAACATAGAGTAAATTGGATTGTGAAGCAGGTACCGATAAATCAGCAGGGCACCTTTTAAGTAACAGAAACCTTACGAAGTCACAGCACTCACACCTTTGCTTTTCTGTTATTCTGTGTCTTTTTCTTACTGTAAATCATTGCCACTGAGTTTAATAAGGCTTACACAACATTGTAAGCACCTCTTCAGTAATATAATTGTTATTTGTGATCCTGTTCATGCTTGGAAGCTTTTTTTACTGGAGGGGAAATCTTCCATTTTTCAATTGACTCATTTGTAATGAAAGCTGAGTCCTCCCCCCCCACCCCCCCTTGGAATGAAAGTGAATAAAACAGGGAGCCATTTTTATATGACATCAGTTGGGCATTTTGAGTACCTGTTTTAAGATTCAGCATCATATTTTGCTCATGGAGACTGGGTTTGTCGATCACAGCCAGTCAGAGTCGCTGGAGCACAAATGTTTTCAGCCCATTTTTCAAATAAACCCCTTATTGTGCACATTTCTGTAAGCAAATAAGCTTTTTTCCTCAGGAAAACTGCTGTCTCAGACAAGCACAGGGTGCAGCAGAGACTGTCACAGCACAAGCTATTGTGGTGCAGGCTCTGCACCTCTTGGCACAGAAGACCAACACACAGCACACGAGGCTGCACATTTGTACGCCACCTTTAGCCCTTCTGCTCAGACCACCCATGTTAGTGCTGCCTGAGAGATGGATTTTGATAACTCATCTAAGACCACTGTAAGCAGGGGCAGCCAGACTTTTAACAAAGCCAGTGAAGCATCACCACAGAACTAAACCAGCAGTGCTGCATACCTGACATGACATTGGTACAGTCACTTCTGCTGCCCTATCCAGCATTTCACTGACCCCTAATATCCCCTCCCCAACAGGCTAAATGCCGTACAGTTTATTCTGGGGACCATAATAATCATATTATATACAGCCAAAGATGAGAGGTTTCCCCTCCCGGTGGCAGAGGAGCGAGAGAAGAGAAAGCGATACTGACTATTGGTCCACTTACATCATTGGGAATAGTAAGCTCATGGGAACTGGTTGGAGTAGTGGCATCCAGTCCTATTCAGGGGACAGAGGGAAAATGTTACGCCAGTTTGCAAGAAGGGCAAGACACAACAAATGATATTTTAAAGGAAGAAACATACAGAAAGAAGGGAAGAAAAAAAAGAGAGGAGCAAAGAAAAACAGAACTGCTAGTGAAACAGAAAAGAAAGCAACAGATGCAAAACTCAGAGGGCTGCACTCATTTTAAATGAGTCTTATTTTAGTTAACCTTCAACCCACCAAAGCAACAAATGTCACATGAGATTCCACAGGGTCATAAAAAGCTACTAGAAAACAAAGGGTTTCCCCTAAAAACAGTCTCTGAAGCTTGCTGTAAACACATCAATTGATAAACTCATGAATTGCTGAAATTGCACCTGTCTACCAGGAGTTCCAGAATACCAAAAATGAAAGTCAGATGAACAATTAATAGAACAAAATACATAGATACGAAAAAGAAAATAATAATAAATGAAGGATGAGGAAGTTAACCTAGGAAAAATTGGGAATTATATGTGGGATTAGTTGCTGAAGGAGTGTTGGGAAGGGGAATTTTTCAAGGGAAGTGTACAGAATACTCTAAGCAGCGAAATACTCCAAGCTGCATACATTTGTTTGTAAATTGGGTAGACAAAAGGAAAATGTTCAGGAAATATGTGATTACTGCTCTAACACACAGTAATGTTACACAAACGTACATCTCACAAATATAAGCAGGAAAAGATAAAGGAGCAGCAGGTTAATGACAAGAATAAGGAAAACATAAAGCTAGGAAAGGCAATTTAGTATTACTTGTAGGTATTTTATCCCATACATCATGAAGAAATGAAAGTATATTTTGGATCTTTTGTCTCCTTGTCTAATTTTCTCTTTTTTGGGTGTATTACTATTATTATTATTGTTATTATTGTCACTGGCATCATTATTATCTGTAAAGACATACCCAAAAGACTAATTTCCAACCAGAAAAGATGGGAAACAAGTACTCTGACAAAAAAGGGACTTGCCTACATTTTACTTACATTTACATTCAATTAAGGGTTTCATACGCTTATTTTACATTAAATACAATCCAATGAAGTTACTCACGGAATTTGATATATGCGATAAAATGTTATTTGCCATACAAAGCATGTACCAGTACATATGTACTTCTGTTTTGTGAAGATTTAGATGCCAAGCATGTATGTAGCGAAGTACAGTAAAAAGATCTATTGCAGGGTTAACTGACTTCTCACTCTTGAATCAAGAATTCAGCTCCAGCTTTAATAAGGACGGACCAAACCTGCAGTCCTTAATTTAACTAAACTTCCATTGCATTTTGTAGCTATATATGCACATGTAGTAGGTGCTTTTGCCAACAGTGATGATTACAGATGCTGTCTACAAGGAAATGAGTTTCAGTGTGCTGTAATTTCTTTAATCAGTATTTCTTCACCACAATTCCATACTGTTTTCCTTTGTTTGCTTCTTTCTACACCATGTCACTGAACTGGAAATTTGAGAAGATGCAGACCCAGGTGCTTCACTCAGGATCAACTGGTACATACTGCATGGTCCATAATAACTTTACAAGGACTGAAGAAAAGAAACTCAGGGCTTTTAGCCAATGGCACAAATGAAGCGGCTTTGATTAAGAAACGTAACAGACAGAGCACGTTTTAGTAATGATGAAAGGAACTGTAAAAGAGGTACGGGAGGGAAGAAGAGAGATTAATGTGCGAAAACAGAAGGATTGCTGGTCATTGACCACATTTATAATTAAAATGATGTAATGACCACGGGAAACAAAGCTGTTAAGAAGAAGGACATCCCCAGGGGGTCATGGGTACGTACCAGGGAAACCAGGGGTGGTCTGCCCAAGGGGAGTAAAGGGGGGATGCTGCATAGCCAACTGGTGAAGCTTGGTCAACTGCAGGGCAGGATGGGAAATTAGAACTAACCAATCAAATGGAATTATTTCAGAGCAGAGAAACCATCTTACATGTTCTAAAACTGGATTAATTAAAATTATATTGAAAAAAAAGTTTAAACATTCAGTCTAATCTACTGTTGAGAAAAAATAAAACCCAAACTGGTTATAAATGACATCTCTACTGTTATTACATGTAATGGCTATTGTTAATATAAACTAATAATTGTAGAATTACATATTAAAAGAACTCAAATATATCACATGCAAAAAAGACCAAGATATCTGTCATTTGTTCCTGGGCCATTGTACTTTCTACCAATTATTACACAAGGTAAGAGATGCAGCTGAGCTAACACTTTGCTAGAGAGTATGTAATTCAGGAAGGGTGCCCTTAGGCCATGTCTTTATTGCTAACTGTAGAAAGCAAATGTTGCCCAGAACAAATAAGAGGAAGAGGAACAAAAAGGGAGTAATTTACATGTGCTGGACTCACGTCTGGATGAGGGATGGCATACTGCCCCTGAATCGTGAATGCCTGAAAACAACAAGCACAGTTAAGACACAGGTCAGTCAGGAGGGACAAGCAGTGTTCCCACTCTCATCAGAAAACCTCCTCCTGGCTCCCCAGGCAAATACCACCCACTTCGCTCTCAGTGCTGAGTGAATCTTAATTGTCTTGTGCTGCTTGATGACACTTGGCACTACAGAAAGGTCTCTGCCAGGCTGCCTGCGCATCCCTTGCAAGCAGGGGATGCCAAGTGCTACTGCAAGATGACCTTGGTCCTTAGGACCTCTCTCACCTCCAGCTCCATCTGCCAGAAGCAGAGCTAGGGACGCTTCAGGGATTGAGGAGTATGGGGATGGCCACTTCCCCTCCTTGCTGCCCCATTCACCAAGTGCCACCGATGCGTGCACAGGGAGATGCTGATGCAGCAAGGGGAGAAGCAAGGATGGGGCAAACCTGCCAGGGGGATGCCTGCCCTGCCATCCAGCTTCTGACTGCTGTGTGCAGGGACACATGCCAGCTAGCTCTGGGCTACCTCACCTGGCTAGGACAGCCATAGGTGCCAAGTGCCAGCAAACATGTGCCCCGGTGCATCCCACAGTGAGCACTCATGCGGGATGGCAGCCTGTCCTGCAGTGCCTGGGTATGAGGCCAGCATGCCTCTTTGGGGATAGGGGCATGAGGGAGACCCCCACAGTGGTGGTCTTATACCCCACAAGAAGCCAAATATCCTCTCTCCAAATCCAACCTCTCTGCACAAGAGCAGTACAGGGGCTATAGTTTCTGTCATGCATGGCACCAGTTAGCACAGCCCTTCATCTCTCCTGCTGGCTCTGTAATGGCCTACAAAAGAACAACTATAGAGAGTTTGTAATTTTCAATTATATCCTGTAGGGCTTTTCTGAAAGGAATGGCATGTCAGAAAATGTTTAATGTGCTTGTGCTTAGACAGGCAGGAAAGCAGAAGGACAAATTATAACGTATAAATATTTGTAGTGGGAGAATTATAAATGGGAACAGAGCTGATTAGCTTAGTTTGCAAAGTGCTTATTTGACAAAAGGCCTCTTAGACAGTAATGAATCCTTGCAAATGATAAAACAATTCATTTAATGGAGTTCAGATATTAAAACTTTAATGCCTCAACTGCTTGATGCATATTTCTGCAGCAGAATTTCCCTTCTCGAGAAGAAACATTTAATTTAGTTTTTAAATTAGTCACAAAGCAAGGCTGCAATCCTGCAAACATTACGCACATGAGCAGTTTTCAGGCAGAAGTGTGTGTCACCGGGCATAAGGGGATGCTCATGGCCAAACACATGTGACAAGAAAAGGTTCCAGTCCACCACCAAACCAGGTGATCGCTGGTGTCAATGGGTCTTAAGCAAGCACATATTCAAGGAAGCAAAGCATGTGTTTAAGTGTTTTACAAATGAGGACAACCTCAAGGAGGTGTTACACTGCTTTGCTGAGTGGAGGCTCTGTGCAAAGCCAAGCACAAGAGCAGCCTCAGGAAAGTTATAGATGGAAATAGTGCTAAAGCAGGGCGTAGGTCCATGAGCAAACAGTGGGTTTTGTCTCTGAGCCTCTATGCTGGATCACAAGTCTCCTTTCTCATCCTGGCTTTACTTCAAACCCAGCTGAGAGAACGTCTTTGATATCTCTGCCCAGGGAAGCTGCGGCTGCCCCATCCCTGGCAGTGCTCAAGGCCAGGCTGGATGTGGCTTTGAGAGCTTGGTCTAGTGGAAGGTGTCCCTGCCTATGGCAGGGGGCTGGAACTAGATAACCTTAAGGTCTTTCCAACTCAAACCATTTTACAACTCTATGACATGGGTGCTTCTCAAGCAGTGGCTTGCAACACAGCAAGAAGCCACCCCCCAAAAATCACTAGTGAATCTAATAGAAGGCACCCCTTTTCTCATCATTCCTCTCTCTTCCATGTATGCATATACAAGGAAGCAAACAAACTGGAGAAGTAACAAAAATGAACATTCAGTGCTCAGCTCTTTTTTTGGTTGTCAGTGAAAACCATAAAAGCAGCATGGACAAGATGGGTCTTGAATTTTCTTTCCCAGTTAAAAAAAAGGCAAAAAACCCTCTTCATTTCTTAAGGCTCTCAAAAAGTCATTTGATTGATTTAGGTTGAGAAAAATTATCTTGGACTGCTTTACCACTTGGCAGAGGAACTGTGCCCTTCTGTAGCTAAGGCATATTAAGTACAAGTAGCCTGGTAGAGACTACCGAGACATCCACACTGTAATGTTTCACTAAGGACATGAGCTACAGGTCTGCTTCCATCAATGCCAAGGGCAACTCTCTTACTGATGTACTGACATTAGTAACAGCAGGAACGACCTGGGCTACAGATCTTCCTCAATTTAAACCATAAAACTACTATGAGACATAAAGCAACATTGTACCCTGTGAGTACCCATCTAAACAGTAATGTAGCACAGTTGGTAGAAACTTCCCATTTGTTTCCATCAGGTAGGAGTGCTGGATTTATTTACTGTTTTCCTTTAACCACTGCATATGCTAAATACTGGTAAGGGGCAGAGCAGGACAGGACAGTGTTCAGCTCCATTTTAGTTCCACCATTTAATACAGTATCAAAGAAGCACAAGAGAATTAAAAGCAACACTTCAAGCGAAAGAAGCCCATATTGTTAAGGAAAACTAGAAATTTGCTAGTGTTCCTTGATATGCAAGCATTAAACAACCCAAACCCTTTCAAGATAGCCATGATGTACTTTAGAATTGAACCAAAAGCTTGGATGGAATTAACACTGCTGGTAAAATTCTATTTTCAGCATCCCTGTCCACTTATGAAACCTGGTTAAAGTGTCTTCCCATACTGATGTCCAAACACATCTCAATCATTTTCTTTAAAACGTGTGCTTAGTCAGAGCACACAAAAATTCAAAGCATACAGGAAGTGTCTGTCTCTTACACTCTTTCCCACATCAAGAAGGTTGTGTTAGGAAAGTGAGAACACTGTTTTAACTGAGAAAACTGAAGATGACAAGAACTATTAGACCTTAAAATAGGACACTTTCCATTATTTATACCAACTGCTCAGAGCACTCTAGCAAACAGTTTCAATACTTCTGAGTAATCATATACAGAGATGTCTTTGAAGGTAGTGGCAATTACAATACTGGTAACGTAGGCTGCTGAATATATACACACACTTCTTAAAGGAAAGCACTGCAGTGTAAACATATATATGGAGTGAATTATTCTGAACTTTTAGTCATAAACCAATTTCTGGCAAATTATTTTACATTTCAATTCAACTTGAGTCACTAAGGAGACAGATTTCTTGTTCTGGAAACAGCTGAGAGTGGTAGGCTTAAACACCAGATACTGAAAGCTACTACATCCAGATTACAAATATCCGGATATACTTCACAACACGTAATTACAGAATAGGAGATAAACTCAGAGACAAAATTCAGAGGAAGCTCATTTACAAGGGCCTGTCAGAAGCAATGGTGCTTTGGCATATGCCTGAGATGTGCAGGACTTTCCTTACCCTGACTGATACAGCTTAAGATGAAGGGTTAATCAGCAAAACTTCATAATATAAAACAGAAACAGGAATGCCGTTCTTGTGTGTGTTGCACACTGTGGTTGGGAAGGTCTACACTTGCATGTATGCAGTTCCTGTCACCTCAGAACCCCATTGCTACTTGCTCTTGGGGGACTATGAGCAGCAAAAATTGTGTGCGTGACTTTTTATGGCAAAGAGCACTATTCGGTCCTAAAAAATATGAAAGCTATGAGAGAAAAATTACGCCTTTCATGAGCAGAGGTACCCTGCTGCTTGATCATCTCTGAAAAGTGACAACATTGCTTATACAGTTAGTGGAGGTGCAAATTAAGGGTGAAAAAACCAACCCCTACAATAAGCAGTTTTGTCCAACTCAGGGAGCATCTGATTTGGACACATCTCGATTCAAAGAAGGCCAAACTTTTCTTAATTAGAGAAGCTAATTTTAAATCTTGGTAAAATACCAGTCAGCACAATTTTATGTCAAGTTTGCAATGCAGTGTTCTCCTTTCCTGCAAATGGCAAGCACACAGAGTAAACAAAGCACATCAATACTATACCAGGCAAGAAAGAGTAAAAGTTGAAAACTAACAGGCGCTGGCTGAGGTTGGGCCAAGACGGTGTGGTTTCCAGCTGAAGCCAAAATGGTGTCTGCTCTTACCTGGCCACCTGCAAAAATGATAGGTGCAGAGGCAGGTTTGGGACGGTAGGGGATGGTGGCACCTTTGGGTGGGGACTGCAGACAAAAACACAGAGCAGTCAAAATGCAGAATGAAACAGAGCTCGTATTAAAAAAATCACTCCTTATCTTGGTCACCTCAGACCACAGGCATGCAGCTAACCCTGCCCACTCAACACTGCCCTCCACCCCATCAGCCTAAAAGCAAGCCAGAAGCCACTTGTCTGGGCTTCGAGGGGAAGAGCCAAGGTCCAAACTGCACAGACAAAACAGGCAGTGCTGGCACTTGTGGCTTCATTACTTCCATCATCAGATGAAGCTATGATGGCTTATTTATTAAGCATATCAAGGCATTTCGGGAAACATGGGCACAATTATGAACTTTGTCGACGGTCTGGAAGAGTCTGCCCTGTTTTCTTTGTTAACACAGAGCACATCTCCTGCTTATCGATCTTCCCTACACTGATACAGTTCAAGGTTTCTTGTCTTACCAATTCAATGACCAGCCTCATCCTGCCTTTCATATGATTGAGCTGGCAGGTTGGAGAGAAACCTTCCTGGCTTCATCAGAAGCACTAAGCATGGTCTTTGTAAACATGAAAAAGAGTTTTTCCCTGTAGCCCAAGACAAGGACCCAAAGGGAAAACCCCTGACCAAGGCTAACTTCCTCCTCATAAACAAAGCAGGAGCACGTGTGTGTAAAAAAGGCTTCAAACTGTCTGTGCAACACCTAGCAGAATGGTGCCCTGATTTCAATGCATTAGCTACAACTAAAGGTAACAATATCACCTCCATTAGCTAGTATTATATAATGAGCTATTTCATGTCAATGAAAGTGTTTGTTGTCAATTTAACTACATGCTGCAAATTTGAGCACATTCATTCTGTTAAACATTTGAAGCAGCAAACTGTAGTTAAGCCAGTGTTGTCTTAGTGCTGCCTGTGATTTGCCTAATGGTAAAATAAGGTACTTCTTATGTCAAAACTGGTTATTTAACAAGTGGCTCTACCTGTGGGAAAACTGGACTACATCTCTCTACTTTTGAGAAGTGGCTCCTCTCGAGAAACTCAAGGAACTTGGACAGCAGACTACACTCTGTATTCACAAAGCTGGTAACTATCGCCATCATGTACTACATGTCTAACAAACCAAAATTATTTCTTATTACCTTTGTGCTCTCCTGCATTTTTATATCCTTCATCACAGTAGTTTAGCAAAAACTGAAGCAAGAGTCACTTTTCCCCAATAAAACACTAAGGATTTATTAGTTTTTGTGCTTTTATTTGCATTAGGCTGTATGACATTTTGATGCAAAGGCTGTCTGTCATTTTGATGCATTGCATACTTCTGAACAGTCAATAGCTGCAGTGCTGTTCCAAACACTCCACTGTCTCTCCACTCTTTAAAGAGTAACATAACAGTAGGGTATCAGAGATCATCATGAGACAGCCCTTGACTAGATTTAGGTAAAAAACCCAGCCCAAGCAAAGAAAACACAGAAAATTTTCCAGCAGAAAGTGTGATAAGAGCAGAGATGTTTCAAGCTCCTTCTCAAAAATTATGGTTATTGGGTCAAGATATTTAATTTTGATTTGCTTAATTTTTTTTTTCTAATTCCCATTCAACTTCATCAGGTGAGAAATGTACTTTCGTACTTGTATGAAATTATGGGCATTTTCAGCAAGGATTAAAATGCCCAGATTTTTATAAAAATTAATACTGTATCATTTAATCTAATTGCTAAAAAATTGCAGTCAAAATGAAGTCTCCTGGCCTTATGCAATAACCTGACCCAAAGGAAGAAAAAACCCTTAAATGACATTAGTCGGAATTATTTCTATTTAAAACTAGACCTAGTTGTTTTCTGCCCTGTTCTGCATCAGAATAATTCTGCTTTTCTCTTAGAATGGGCTGCAGCTCCATGCTGGAGTAAGTTTATTGTTTAACAGCCCTGGTCTTTGATTTCTAAACCCTCCTGCGAGAGGATCTCAAACAGCAGGAAGGGCACAGTCTAACAGAGTCCTCTTGAAATCCCTGGTACGGGAAGGGCAGGCAGCAGCACTGGGGAGCCCAGGGCAATTGAACATTAGTAATGTGTTTGAGCATCTCCATGCGAGAGGTGATACACCAAGCGCTCACTTACCTCCAGCATAACCACGCATATTTGTTTCACACACTGGATAATGGCATCAGGAGTGCCTGAGATAGTCACTGCACGCTCTGTTGAGTTCGGCAACATGTCCCCTGCGACCTGCACCTGTGCTCCTGTGGACTTGAGCAGAGACAAAGCACAGAGAGCGTCACCATCGGGCAGGCAACAGTACCCCTCCAAAGTGTGATGTGATGGAGGGGATGCACCTCTAAACTTTTAATCTTTTATTTGCTGGATACGTGATAACGCGTGTATGTCAACTCATGCCCAGACAGGGTAATTGGGGTCTGGCAGGACATGGATTTGTCTGTTCAAGGCAATTTGCAAACACTCCCATCTTAAGAAGATTAGTCCCCAGTAGCTGCTAATGAATCAAACTGTGACCTGGATTTCATGGCAAGTCTTTTAACCCTCTCAAAGACAGACAGCTGCAATGCTGACTAATACATGGAAGAGGTAAACCCAAGAACTTTTCAACAATTAAAAAAAAAAAAAAAGAAAAAAAAGTTAAAAAATGCTGACAGCCAAAGAAGGCCTGCTAATCCAATAAACTGCAGATAAATGGCTCTTTAATCCACTGATGGCTGACTTGTGTCTCTAGATGAAATCTGGGGCTGTCTTATGCTCTGCTGTATCTCAAGATGGTACAGAAGCACTTCCAAATTACAGAGTTGATTAAATAGATGCACATTATCAACTTTTAGCTCATGAACAAACTCAAAGAAGAAATAAGCCAGTTTTGTTTTCTCTTTTTATAAAATTTGACCTTGTCACTAATATATCTTAGTTAACCAAAAGAAACCAACCCCAAAAACCAAAGAAAGAAAAAAACACATGAGGCCAAAACAATCCCTGGCAGTATTTCACAAGCATCCTGGAAGACCTTTTCCGTCAATAGAGAAAACCCTGGGCATTTCGTACTGAGTTAGCACTTTCATGTATTCCAAACAAAATATACTCCTGACTATTACTGCAATGCAATTATTTTTGGCTTTAAAAAAAAAATGTATTTTCAGTAATCATCAACTTTGTGTCAGACGGCAAGGAGTTAATTTGTTTTCCTGCTGGTTACATACAACACATGTTATTCTTCTTTCCAAAGACTGATTAAATTACTGATTGCATCTTCTGTTCACTAGTGCTGTTTAAGGCCAGAATATCAATTCCTTGCTCTATAATAGGCTTTGGAATTTCACCATAATTTGATCAATCAGTCATGCTTTTCTTTTCTTTGTAAGCTTATCTTGAAAACAGTTCTGCAACCCTACACGTTACTCCTGGGTACATGACTGAACACAAAAGACCATCCCTCATGCAGCTGCTGCTCAGTGTGTTGCATGATGATGAAATTAGACCACATCTCGAGCTGGATGCTCCTTTTTCTTTTTTTGTTTGCTTGTGTCTGCTGTTTAAAGCACCGCTCTGGGTATCAGTACATCTAGCATAAAATACTCTGCCAAATACTGCGCTCATTTATGCGTTTGCTTCCAGTGCCAATCTTGTTTATTCTTTGACTTTGGTCATATGGCAGCAATGAGAAAATGAGTAATATTTTGTCTGTTACTCTTATGCTGATGAAAATGTGCAGTGTGACTTCCTGGTACCCTAGCCTTATCAAAACACCTTGTTGGCCAGACACTGCCTACTTCCTTGTACTAGACTAGGAGGTAATTGCTTCTGAAACTACGCTCACCAGAATAATCCCTTCAGTCATTTATTTAATGTACACAGACCAACAGAGCAATCTCACCTTTAAAAACTGTCCCAAAAAGCACTCACTCAGTACTCTGGATAAGGTTACTGATACATAAAATCCAAAGTATCAACAGCTGTAAAACAAAGAGCTAAGCACTTCCCAGCACATAGCTCATACTCACGCCTGCTCCAATTTTAACACAACTAAGAAATCAGCTGCATTTCTGCTGCCTGACAGACCTCTGGACTCCTAAGAGATCTGGAGGACCAAGAGAAATCATGCCTCATGGCTGAGGTCACCTCTTACCATGTGCTCTGACAGTAGTTCTGCCTTCTCCAGCGGCAAGGCTTTAGCCTGTCTTTGCCTGCTGCCTGCCAGGGATGGAGCATCAGCTTCTGGGTAAGCTTGCTGACTCACCCTGACATGAACTCCTGCAAAGACCAGCTGTCCTGTGGCCATTCAGAATCTGAGCCAGGAATGCCCTGTGTGAAAGGCAAAGTGTACACCTTCCTTTCGCCCAGGAAATGCACTTCAACAAACAAGTTCTTCTCCCTTCTATAACAAGTTCTCTGACAAAGCTTTTGGGGAATAAAGAAGAAAAAGGGTCATAGAAAACCCTTCTCCACAAAAATAATGTTTTCTTCCCCTCAACTGTCATCAAGCGACTCCTTCCCCCCACATTTCAAAAGCTGGTTTTGGCTGGGATAGAGTTAAGGAAGCATAACCAGGACAGCTGACTCAAACTAGCCAAAGGGATATTCTATACCACAAAATTTCATACCCAGTATATAAACTGGGGAAGAGGGAAGGAGTTAGCTGGAAGGGGCTGTTTTGCTGCTTGGGGCCAGGCTGGGTATCAGTCGGTGGATGGGAAGCAATTGCATTGTGCGTCACTGCTTTTTATTGTTGTTTTAGTTTCTCTCTCTTTCCCTTTTCACTGCTGTTATTATTAGTAGTATTGTATTGCACCTTATCTTAATTATCAAACTGTTCGTATCTCAACCCACAGGTTTTACCTTCTTTCCAATTCTCCTCCCCATCCCCCTGGGAAGGTGGGGTGTGAACAAGTGCGTGGTGATGAGTTCCCAGCTGGGGTTAAACCATGACAACTACTAAGAAGCACAGCTCCTGGACTCTTTGATGAAAAATAAAGTAAGGGCATTCCAAGAAAAAAGCCATCTGATTTGTAACTGCTTTTTACTTGCAGGTCTCAGTAAGCACAGGGACCCCTTCAAACAGCAGGGCACTTTGTTGTTTTTCTGCAAGTTTACAGCAGACAACCTGTGCACGTTTTCATAAACACATCCTACAAAGTCAGACGCACATGGAGGAACAACATGTTTACTTGGCAACAAAAACTCTGGAACAGCTTTTGGCAGCTCTGTCAGCTAATGGAAGCACTATACGCTTCTTTTACTTCCCTGCAGGCAAGGAGAGAAAAGGCCCTTTCAGTAGTGGCCAAATCCTGAAAGGTGAAGATAAGCCTTCAGAGGGAATCTTGTTAAAAAAAACTCCCAGGGAAATCAAATGTGAATCCAAATGAAATAATTTGGATGAACTTGAAAGTCAACAAGGATGAGACCCCTAACCATCCTCTATAATCACCTTTCCTTCCAAGGCTGCCATAAACTAGTATTTCATAGCAAATGCCACTCATATAATTTTGATCAAAGCATTTTTCACTCCTTCTTGACACCTGATTGAATATTCTTTGATAGAAAATCATCTGGTAACTTTTCTGTATGCTTTTTTTTTTATGTTGTGGTTTAAGCCCAGCCAGTAACTAAGAACCATGTAGCTGCTCACTCACTTCCCACCTTCTTCACCCCCACCCCACCCCTGCTCCCAGAGGGATGGGGAGGAGAATCAAAAGAATGTAACTCCCACAGGCTGAGATAAGAACACTCCAGTAACTAAGGTATAACACAAACCACTGCTGCTACCGCCAATAATAATAATGATAAGGGAAATAACAAGGGAAGAGAATACAACTGCTCAACACCCACCAACCGATACCCAGCTGTACCTGAACAGTGATCTAGCCCTTCCAGGTAACTGCCCCCAGTTTGTATAGTGGGCATGGCGTGCTGTGGTATGGAATACCTCTTTGGCTAGTTTGGGTCAGGTGTCCTGTCTCTGCTTCCTCCCGGCTTCCCCTCCTCCCTGGCAGAGCACGAGACTCAGAAAGTCCTTGGTCAGACTAAACATTACTGAGCAGCAACTAAAAACATCGGTGTTATCAGCGCTGTTCCCAGGCTGAAAGTCAAAAACACAGCACTGCAGCAGCTACTAAGAAAGAGAAAAATGACTGCTACTGCTGAACCCAGGACAAAATGAAATGTAAAAGCTCAATAAAACCTACTGTATTGAAGCTACATTTAAGATAAAGAAAATGAAGTTTCAGTTTGGTAGAGCCTGTCAAGAGCTTTTCTTTTGACACAGTCAAACAAAAAAAAAAAACTGATCAGCATGTTATTTTGTTACTCAACACCTCATCCCATGTTGGAATGAAAACATATTTAAAAAGAATACTGTCGTCACTGTCTCCAGAAGAAAAATCCATTCTGAAATGTCCTATTCAGATTTTCTCTGCATAACTGAGCATGTACCTAATCTCCTTGTTTGACTAATTGCAAACACTGGATCCTTGATTTGGCATGTGCTATGTTGTTACAGTCATGGATGGAAGAATTAAACCTGGCACCGTATGGTAATTTTCTGCCTTCTTGGTTAGATGAAAAAGTGGCTGCTAGTGCAGCACACTGAGTGATACCTTTAGATAAAAGTCAGGATTAAAAACAATCAGTGTATGTTTGGAATACATGAAATCAGGTCACCTGTAACACAGCGACATTAGGGAGAAACAGGAAAGGAGCATGAAAGTAAAATGCTACTTGGGCCTTTCTCTGGTCGCAAGGGTGGTAACTAACACTCTGACTTGGAATCCCCTGAGTACTGGTGGGGAAGGGGCTGTGCCTGAAGAAAATCTTGACAAGCATTTCTGTCACTAATCTGTCACTTTGCTGTATGACTTGCATCAAAGGCTAATGTGTTGTAAAGCTGTTGTTTATTTCACACACGGTCTTACCCCCAAGGAAAGTACAAGCGTACAGCTCTGCTTCCCCCAGAGCAAGGCTTTTCCAGGCTTTTCACTCAGAACATGCTTATGTCTGTGTGATGAGCAAAGTGCAGTGGATGAGGCACAAGGCTGGCAAGATATCACGCTAGCCAGTGTCCACAGCAGACATCTCAAGACTTACCTCCCTGATTTCTTTGATTTTGGAACCTCCTTTTCCTATAAGGGATCCACACTGACTTGCTGGGACGACGAGCCGCAGTGTTACAGGCGGTTTGCTTGTCACTGTGCTGTTTGTCATTGAAGCGTTTATGTCCTGTAATCACAACGTCAGTGAGGATTAGCAGAGGATTTGTCATTCCTGGTAAGCACTGAAGGGCTCAGAGCAAAAGCCTGGGCTGTTTTTGGAGACCTGGGGAGACTGCAGTTTGTTTCTGTTTCAATTAAAGCTGCTGGCTCGGCTGGCCATATGCCTTAAGCACGAAGCACACAAGCAGCTTGTGCCAGAGGAACCCTCCTGCTGTCTGCCACTGCAGGTCCACACTTTGGGACCCGAGGACAGTCTCTGAGGCAATGCTAGGAGGGGGAGGTGGTATTTGTCATTAGGCTACTCAAAGCAGATGGAAAAGACAGAGGCTTTTGAGTTCACAGGCCTACCCAACCCCAATTTGGTCTCTTTTCTACCATCTCAATTAGAACATATATACTATATGATATGTTTCTACTTTTCAGGTGATTTCCTGTCAGATTCAATACAAAGAACAAAGGTTAAAAAAGGGAACGACAAAGAATCTGTGAATAGTCTGAAGCAGAGAAAATCTGATTGTAATGATAAATATTTTGCTGCCCTCCTCCGCTTCCCACCCTACCCTCCCCAGTTTAATTTCTCTTTTGTAGCAGACCCACAAGCATTTGTAGTCCTACACATTTTCTAAAATCTTCCATCTCAGCTATATAACCATAGGAGATCAGCAGAACACCAATTACCTGTATCCACGTAATGTGTCCTATATTCCTGTATCTCATTATTTGATGCTTATGAGACCTATAAGTTCTCATGAGCATTTCAATATGCTATTTGTTGCAAGGTGTACATTGTTCTATTTTGTTTGTTGAAAACCTTCTAGGCAAGACAAACCAATCCCTCTACAGTCTTCAGCACAGAGAAAAAATAAAGCTTATGTTCCCACTGATTGATGAGATGCTGTTGAGAACACTTAGGATCACAAAAAGAGCCACGAGCTGCATGATGCCTGTCCAAGAAGTTATGAGACTCTCTAATGTGGTTTACTAACACTAGCTGTGAGCTGAAAAGACCATGCCATCCATCTGTGAGGTGGCATGGCACAGCTATTATATCCTTCACAGAAATGCTACCTAAAAGTTAGGACACTAATGACAGAAAACATGCAGTTCATTTAACTCATTCATGATGCAACAAGAGTTCCAGCAGACAAAACTGATGTGATTCCCTACATTCTTACTTATCAAGACTACCACTTGTTTAAAAACAAGAAGTGAAAAAGTGACTATACTGTGTGATCAGGAGCTCAAATTAATTAAAAAAAAAATGAAAAAAGAAAAAATACTTAAAACAACTCTGCATGCCTCATTGAACTGGTGTTGGAGCTCAGTGACACTGATTCCTATGGTACCTCCACATTTGTGATGGCAGCATTATTCCATCCAAGAAATGACTTGGTGTGACCTTGCTTAGCTTATAAGAGAAGAAAAAAATCTCTAAGGGAATGAGGCATTGCTGCATGCCACAAGACAGATACCACATCACTCCTCTGTCAGCCAGTAACTCACATTTTGTTTAGTGCCTGTGTCAGTGAGAGATTGCAATCTCAAATAAAGTGAGAGGGATAACAGAATTTTGCAGCCCCCATGTATCTGAAATAAAGCCTAAGTCATGCCAATTTTTCAGCTGGAAGATGCCATCTCACTATATCATGTTTGTGTCAGGTGGAGGCACACGATCATCCAGATGTAACTAAATAACCCTCTTCAGCCACCCAGCACGACCCTGATAATGTCTTCCACTTCCATACCATGCGACCTGACCTCAAAGTCTTCACGACACTTAGCGCCTTCAAAAGCACTTCACAAAAATTGGAAGCTGCTATTCTCATTGTTTTCTCCTTGTTATTTAAAAAGAGCAAAATCTAAGCATGGAGGCGCGGAGGGCATTGAGGAGTTGGTCCTGCTTAAAAACACAACAAACAACAAAGGACCAGAAAAACATCCCCTCCAGAACTGCAGGCTCCCAGGTAGGGCTGGCTGGAGATTGTCTCACAGAACAGTCGGCTTTCAAACTGGGGGGATTACCATATCTTTCACCTCTTAACTTTCTGCAGCACTGCATACATTTCCTCTGCAGACACCAGAGCCAGCTCTTGGATGGTCTGTGAGGTGGCTCCACACTGGGTAACCACCAGCACAAGGTTTACTGTAGTTGTAGTAGGAAGAGTTAACCTTTGCCAAAAGTGCACCATTTCCAACAAAAAGATACGCATGAAAAATAACATTTGGTAGATAGCTCATTTGTAATTTGTGAAACAGTACTTTATTTTGCCCCTAAAGTGTTAAATTTACCTCATTTTATTGACAGGAATAATTATAGGAAACTTTAACTGATTATATGAGATGTATTTCCTTACCCCTGTTCTTCTAAGTATATGAGAAGTCAACTATATTAAAACTAAATACAGATATTTCAGAATATATAACGGCAGTACCTGCACTTATACTCCTTTGCTAAAACCCACATGAAGACTCCAGATTAGCCACTAAAATCTACAAGGGTAAATATGCATAAAATCCAGTCAAATACCTGAACTTCAACTTTCTTTGCCTATTGCTAGCTATAGCACTTTCAAAGACTATGCTGTGTTGGGTGGTGGGGTGAGGATCCAATGCTGTGCAGCCATCCATATTTTTATGAGAAATACATAAATTGAGTACCACAGGGTACTCATTTCGGTGGGAACTGCCAGAGATTGTCACTGTTAATGATTCCCTCAGCATTTTTCACGATAAGGCCCTAAACAGAACATGTTTTTTGTATAGAGGGCAGAGAGACTGCTCTCTCCAGGTCTCAGTGGATTGGAGGATATGGTACCATACACAAAGCTGCTTCGTAAGCTTAGAAGAAAAAAGGATCGGTACAAGACGGGTAGCAGATAAAGCTGAGAAAAAAGATGACTACAGGTGGTTTTAAAATTGGGCTGGGCAGAATTATTTGTGTGATTCTGCAGGATTCAACCTCAAAATCGTTATCTCAATAACTGCTATGGAAAAAAAATTAGCATTTTTATAAAATGTTAAAGTACTCTGATTTTGTTGCATAGTACATGTTGGAAGACTGGTGCATCATACAGAAGGTCTGAAAACCCATGTGGGACTGGAGCAATATAAACCAGATTAACATTTGCAGTATGAAATATGTGGCATTTGTCTGGGGGCTGACAGGAATGTTGGCTGAGACTGAAGAGATTCCCACTGAGAACACCTGAGCAGGAGCTGGGTATACCCACAAGGCACAGCATGGCTGTGTGCAAAACATTACACTAATAGGAAGTGAGGCATTTCCAGCAGTGATAGGAACATGTTAACTAGGACAGGGGACTGTTAGAGCCATTAAATAAGCCTTTTTGGAACTTCATTTGCAACCTGACCAAGATTAACATAAACAAAAAGCTAGAAAGGGATTACTAAAGTCACGAGAGCGGTAGAAAATGCATCCTCTGAAAGACTGAGCTTGGCTCACCTACCCTGCAAAAGAAAGGATGTGAGGGGATAAAACCATTTTCTAAAAATTAGTCTAAGAGGGGAATCCTCAGGGTTGCAAAGGCAAGAATTATTTAAACTAATGGCCAGTGGTGGCACAGAAACAAAGCTGCATAAACTGTTCATGAATAAATTCTGGTGAGGAGTGAAAAGGTGTCTAATTCTCTGAGAAGTGATGTTGCGGATCCAGTATCAGGGAACAGAAAACACTGGTCATGCTGTGAAGTTGCAGGTTGCAAGACACATCGCTTTTGGTAGAAGACAACTGCACCTTATGGCCTACAAAGTTTTTTATAGTCCTGTTGCTCTAAATGTGAACAATCACCATGGGTAAATAAAGGCACACACTGCCATTTACCATCAATGCTAGCATTTCCAAGTGCTAATAACCTCACTGACTTGGAGAAATAAGCAGCCTTAAAAAAGAGATTCAGACCCCTCTAGTTTAAAGTGGCAACCATATGTAATTGTAGTTGTTTCATGACAGTTGAGCAGATCCCAGCACTTTAGGTACGTATCTGCACAGATCAGTTTTTCTACAGTAAACCGAGCTCTTGCCTCACTCTTAGTGCCTCTATTTTAATTAAATTTAAAAGCTAAGCTTTAAATATGGTAATTGGTAATCATATAGTTTGTTTTTAAAATAAAATAAATCTATTTAGATGAGTTCCTTATTCATTTTGACATATATAAAAATTTACATCAATACCAAATGGAATCATATAAAAACAGAACTAAAATTTAAGCAATTATTCTTTTCAAATCAAACCCACAATGGGACAAGAAATTTTCCAAGACATTTTTCCTACCATTAGTGCACATTACTAGAAGCAATTGCTTTTCCCTGAAGCCTCCAAAAAGCAAAAGAAATGATCAAACAGCTTGCAAATTGACCCATTATTTTTCTTCAGCATTGCTGCCAAAAGCATTTATAAAAATACAGCCACTTTCACTGCTATTAAATAGAACATTAAACAAATAATATTTAACATTAAAGCAAACATGAGGAAATTCAAACGGTATTTGTATTTCAACTTGAAGAGACAAAAAACGCCTTATTTTATTTCCTTACCTCTTCAAATTTTAGTGCAATCATAGAAAAAGCTTTAAAAATTGCATCTGTTGGGCCTGTTATTGTCACAATTCTCTCCGGACAGGAGCCTTCCGAAATATTGATTCGAGCACCACTCTGTCAAAAAGAGCAAATATTTTTCAAGTTTGTATTTTCCAGGGAACAAACTAAGCAGGATTAGGGATACAGTTTGGGAAGCAATATCTTGAGGCTTCTAATTCTCTCTCCTACAACTGCAGCCCAAACATTATATAATTTCAGCATAAACACTCCCCAAAAGTTCATCTAACTGGGAAGCCAGATTCTGTCTGGGTAAACACTTGGACAGCCTTCTTCATGGTATGCAAATAGTGCTTCTGCAACTGAAAGTTGTGAATAATGGCACAATCAAGTCTTTTCCCTTTCCTCTTGCTGGGTTTACCTCAAATAGTATCGGAGCTGCAGAATTTCACACAAAATTGGTTGTCTCCAGGGAGCATCTCCCAGGGATGACACACCTCTCTGCTTTAAAGACCCAAAAGCAGGGTCTAGACAGAGCACTGCTTTGCACTGTGGAAAAGGCTCCTTATAGATGTGTCTCCTGCAAAGGCAGTCAATTACTGTGCACTGAACAATCCTTTTAAAGGAGTACTAGTAGGACAGGCAATAGTAATGGTGTTAGTTCCTTTAGGCAAGGAGCCTAAAGGAAGTAACTGGAAGGAGTCAGAAAACTTTAAAGCTTGGGGACAGGGCAGAATGGCTCTTCATATACCTGGTCCCCTTTATGGCACTGTGGCAGTGCAGAGAAAACCCCTAAACCAGATGTAAATACATTTAAGAGTATCTTGGTGTAGATAATGATCAAATCCAGTTCAGGTAAGACCCACCCTACACTTTCCCTAAGGTTTCAGGCATGAAAATGTGCTAAATGCAGCCTAAGGAGTCAGTGGAGCTCCACTCATCCACAAGCATTGACCTCCTTGAGGATGTGGGCCTGTAGTCAATGTGAGATGGTTTGGGTTAACTTGGCCCTTTGTCTTCAGGATTACCACAAATCAGCTGATGTGCTGTGTGTCTGAGCCCTTGTTCATGTACATACTGCTGCTCAACAGCAAGATACTGTACTCATTTAAAGGAGGACCAAGTTATAATCATGTGGAACATAGCCTCTTTGTCCTGTGCTGATATAGATATGCACATAATTCCTTTAGTTAAAATAAAGCCCCACCAATCAAATAAAGCCTCTTGTGAACACCTGTAGATTTTTCAGGAGTGGAAGAAGAACACTTGATAAATATCTTGAAAAACTAACCAGGAATCATAACTCTTCTCTAAGATGTTTAACTTGGAAGTCAGGAGCACGCTCCAATGATGTGGATGCAAATTATATCCAAAGATATATGCCCATGATCATAATCAATCATAAAACTAAAATGTGTTTAATCAACTGGCAGGATTACCTAGGATATTGGTTTTCGTTTTACTTCCACTTTTTCTTAAGCCTTAGCAAATGCACTTATCTGTAAAAACATGCGTGAAAACTCTTATAATCAAAACTGGGGCTCTAGACTCAGCCAGCCTGACAACAAACTCCCTATTGTGTATATTAAAGATGGATCTCAGCAATTTTCTTTACTACAAACACTTTGAGATTTCCCTGCCACAGACCTTTTATCAGCGTATAAAACAACAAAGCTGCTGACATAGTAATATACTGCAGGTTTACCACAGCCGAATTGACTTTTCTTGAGGCATCCTCTACACACTCTGCACTCCTAAAGTTTTGAAGAGTAGGATTTGTCTTTTGAGCTATGCTTTTAGCCCTTGTTTCAAAGAAAGAAAATTACATGGATTTCCAAGTAAGATGCACTGCCTTGCAGGACAAGTGCAGGTCTGTAACCTCCACCTGGGCACAATCCTCTGAAGACAATGCAGCTTTCTCTGCAGCAGGGAAGGATGCTGTGGACAGTGGGGAGACTGAGGTTTATGTAGTGCCCTATTTTACTTAGCTATTTTGCATTTATGACCTTTCCAAAGGATGTGAGTGGTCTACCCTGCTCATATCCTACTCATAGGAAGGCTTTGTCAAGACATGGCAGAGGGATACTTCAGGTTACACAAGTCTGGCTACAGCCCTGCTGAACCCTCTGTCTACCCTCAAACTTTATATGCATCAATCTAATGCTTGGTTTCAGATTTTGGAAACTTTCTACCAGAAGGCCAAGCCACGTGCAGGACCGATGTTGATATGCTAAAGAAAGATACAGTGGTTTTAATGTACAGAATCATGCTAGCTAAGCTGCTCCTGAGATAAGACAGCAGCAGGCGTATTGCTACTGGAATGAAAGACTCCAGACTGCTGTGGTGATAAGGTGGTTACATTAACAACAACGTTTAACTGAGGCCAGCACATTTGTACACCACCACTTGCAAAGAATGGTGATGCCAAATTAAGTGCCCACTTGATGGCAGTGTCGGTCTGCACACGCTGAATTTCGCTGTGAGCTGGAATGAAAGCCAAGTAAAGACATCATCAAGGCTTGCCTTACCTCCTCCCTCATCTTCTTAACTGTCTCACCTTTCTGTTAAAGAAACAGAAAAAAAGTTAGCCTGGACTGATGAAGTGAACTGATATACAATATTTTGACACGAAAATAAAGAGAAAAAGTAATTCCTGACCTTTCCAATAATGCTTCCAACCTCCTGAAACAGAAAAAAGAAGACACAGTGAATGACACAATTCGCTACAGAAGAGCATTTGCCCTGCTCCCCAGCTCTTTCGCTACCACTTATTTCAAACCTGCAATGTGAAGCATAGCGCCTCCCATTGTTGCTGTATACAAATATACTATATTAGATACAAAGGGGCAGACTAAAAATGCTGTTTTGCAGCCTACTGATTGTACAAGAATACCTTTAACAGAAGCTGATCTTGCAGATACAGATCAATCCTGCAACTATAAACACAGATAAACTCCTACCAGGGAATGAAAAGTTCAAAAATAACAGAACTGCACAACCTATTAGAGAAAATGAGACATAATACAAGCATTAAAATAACTGCAGATCTCACTGACAGCAAGCATTTACTCTCTTTACACCATGTAATAGCCAGAGCTGTCTTTCCATGCTACTGAATATTATTGTGTAAACACCTGGTGGCCTGTCTTAATCTCCCTGTTAAGCACTCACAGAACAGTAACTGCTAATCACTTTTTAGGGATTTGGGAATTGCTGCTGAGCTTTCACAATCTTCCATGAAGGGACAGACTGAGAAATGTGACTGTGAACATACAATAGAGAAACACTTTGGCAGTTCTGGCAACACCCCAAGGGTTAAAAACTCAATGAATAAAACCAACAGGTAGCAAAGCTGAAGCTAATAACTCTAAAATGAATAGTCTGGGCATGTTACACAGATCATACAGGTGTGACATCAGACTGGAAATCATCTGATGGAGAGGAGACCAGCTAAAGGAGAACAAGCTCTTCTATACCCAGACTGTGAAATCTTCTTCAATGGCTAAAGACTATCTCACATGGCTCTGTCCCAGACATGATATACAGTCGTGTGTCCCCACCTTCCCCTAAGTGTGACCCATCCTGAAACACAGCCCAAAGAGCAGGATTTAAGAAATCGACCTCCACTGCTCTGCCCAATGATGGACTCAACATAAAGTGGTACTAACTTCACCCTTCAGTAAATAACTACCTGCAGTGACCTTCAGAGAGCTATTTCTCACCAGTTATTTATAAGCTTATAATACGAAGCTGCTTGTGCTTGCAACTTCGCACATCCTGCCCACAAGATATAAAGACTTTTTTCCGTGAGCAGATCACCTATCTCAATTAAGAACTTTAGCATATGGCTCCTCTGCACTCTCTGCAAGTCTGCACGTAACACCAGACTGGGGGAAGCAGTCAATGTACTGCTGGACACGGCTGCTATTTGGAGTCTCACCTAGACAGGCTGCAGAAATTGGCTGAGAGAAACCTCAGGGAGTAGAATAAAGTAAAATGAAAAGTCCCATCAAGTTGGGCAAAAACTTGTTACAAACTGGCTTTGTAGAAAAAGTCCTGAGGGCCCCAGTGCACAACTCCAACACAAGCACATGAGCTCATCAGCAGTGCACCCCTGATCAAACAAATGCTGGGCTGTATTAGCAAGAGTGTAGCCAGCAGGCTGAGGAAAATGATTCTTGCCTTCTCCTTGTGTTTGTGAGGCCATGCCTGGAGGATTTTGTCCTATTTCGGGCTCCCAGTAGAAGACAGACAAGGACACACTGATGTTAATTCAGTGCAGGGCCACCAAGATGGTCAGGGAACCAGAGCACAGGACACATGAGGAGAGGCTGAGAGAACTGCATGCATTTGTTCTTAGGAAGAGAAGACTTGGGAGGGCATCTTATTGCAGTTTACAGAAAAAGGAAGCAAGGAAAGCAAGTTGCAACATCAAATTCCTACTTGACATGAGGAAGAACTTTTTACTATGGGGATAGCTGAACACTGGAACAGGTACCCAGAGAAGCTCCATCCTGGAGTCTCCATCCTTAAAGGTGTCCAAAACCAGCCTGGGCAAGATCCTGACCAGTCTACTCAAATGGGATCTTCATGATTCAGGAGGTCAGACTGGAGACCTTTGGGAGTTCCTTCCAACCTCCAAGGGCCTGTGACTCTTAAGCATGGCCTTATATCCACTTAAGTAAATGCCTAACTAGCCACAGAGTTCCTCAACCCATAGAGGCCCTTTCTCAGGCTTATTTTCAAACCTTACTTTTTCTGTTCTGAATTTCCCTTTCTTATTTCCCTTCCTACTTCTTTTCCAAGGTAAGTTTCTGCTCTCTTGTACATACTGACCAGAGAACAGATACTGTCCAGACAGGCACGGCAAATCTTACAGGGGTATCTGCCTTGCAAGCTTCTGTTTCTGCTGGCTGATGTACAGTAGACCTTTGCAAGCCACACAGCTCTGTGACTGTTCTTGCTAAAGTTCTCCACGTCTGGCTGGGACAATGAGGCATCTGTACATCTGTGCATACAATGTGAAGAAGCAGCTCTGTGAGAAGATGAATGAATGGAGCGTACTAGCTACAGTTCTATGTCTTGTGACTAAATTACCCTGTGTCTCTTAATATGTGGGTTCAGGTCATGCCTTTTCCCATGGCTGAGACTGCTGTACCAGCATGCTGTGTAGGCTCTCTAATGAATTGCAGCATTTTTGTTAGCAGTGACAAATTTGGAACACCTATTCCACAATATTTTTAAGATCTTACCAACTTTTATAATGTCACTGTAATTGTTGAATGTGGTTGAACAATACAGGGAGCTAAATTCTCAGTGATAAGTCATTCTGGGAACCCCTCATGTCTAGTAGTTCCTATATGCCCACTCTGCACATTCAACAGTTTTGCCTTGAAAACTTTTGTCTATTCTTCTCAATCCCAGCTTTCAGAAATAGTATCTTTTGTAAAACAGATTCTTAGCAGGTAAAAGGACCTTTTGCTATGGGTGAGCGTATTGTGTTTCAATTGCTATGGGCAAGCAATCATATTTTAGTGCTTGGTATAATTTCAGTTTTTGTATATGAGAAGTTTCATTAGAAACTATAGGCCTCATCTTGAATCTGCAAAGCTCTGCCAGTATACACTTAGGATGAAATCTGTCCCAATCCATTTGATCATACTGGATCTTAATGACAGATGCTGTTCTTTCAGAGATGTATGGATGAGTCCTGGCTATTAAGTACAAAGATATCTTCCTTGGAAATAGGAAAAGATACTTCTGCTTTCGAAACCAAAAAGCAATATGCCATTTGTAGCCCAAGTAAAAAAAAAGTTGGTCCATTTCAAACAAGGAAATGGGGCGTATTTAAACAAGCAGAGTAGAGCACGGAGCCAGGGTTAGGAGGAAAGTAACACTACATTCAAATAGATATTCCTATTTTTTCCAGAATTTTTGATCCATACAGATTACCACAAATAAATAAATAAATCTAGAATGGTTCTAAATGGGTCACTTCAGAATCTTTTGGGGCTTTAGGTGTTTTTAAGAAAGAAACTTAAGAAACATTTAAGAAAGCTCCCGTAAGTACTAGTGTCTACAGATCATGTCTTTAATTATGATGAACAACCTACTTCAGAAGACTCTTTACATCTCCTTCCCCAAACTACCAATGCAATCCTTTAGTGTTTCTTTATACGGTCCAATATTTGTTTCATATAGATTCTTGTTTAGTGCTTAATGAAATACCTAACATCATTTTATAACACTCAAGTTCTATCAGTATTTCTAGCCAAGTTTACTTTGAGTAAACATCTTCAGAAAATGTTTCTACACTTGCCAGACACCAAGCTATGCTGTAGTTATCTGAGTAACACTGAAGGGATGAGATGCCCGTCACCTGCATCAGTTTACTTAAAGTCAGGAGTCTCATGTAAGCCAGGCACACAGCCTCCTCTGCAACCCAGGGAGAGAGATAATGGAGGGTATTTTGTTCCTAAAAGAGGAGGGAAGAAGTGTCCTCCTGAGGGCTTCGTGTTTCTCCATCTGCAGCAGGGGACGACTAGACTGACACTAACATACCTGAAGTCTGCTGAGAGGAATACTACAGCTGATGTCAAATTCAGCCTCAGTGCAAGTCAGACAGGAGCTTGATTTAGCTCTCCTAGCAAACACCTACTAGAGTTATGCTAATAACTCGTGGAAGTATTTGCTGTTTTCCAGTGCTCAGGACTATAAGCTAGAAGTAAGTACTTATGATCAATTTCAGACTGATTTATTGAATAACCATCTATGCATAAACACAGTGGGTAAATAAATTACATGGTAACAATTACTGGGTTTCATATAATCACACTTTAACAGCTGACTGAAAAGCAGTGCACAAAAAAAAGGAAGTTACAAATGAGGAAAACAAAGCTAAGAAGGAGAAACACAGGTCCAAAGCAACCCAGCAGACTGATGCTGGGGCTAGCAGTACTACTCAAGCTCTTTGGTGTCAACATATGAATGTCCACCTGTAAGAAGCAGATATGCCACAGCAACCATGCTGGATGAATAGGATGCCTCTGAAAAGCTGCAAATGTGTGCGTGCCTACATCCACTGATACATAAGCATAAACACACACACATTTACTTATTTGTATGTGAAGTCAAGATATACATAAAGCCACTAGATAGATACCAGCTTTCCTTCAAGAAATGACAGCAATTTGGGGTGCATATCCTGATATTCACCACAGGAGCCTGAGTTTCAGGCCAGGTAATGCCTTCTGAAGGGCATATCTCCAGGTGACAGTATCTCAAGCATGATAATCTCACAGTTGGGTTCCAACAGCTTCACTTTGGAAAACCCCAGGGAAGTAAGAATTGTACATACTGATTTCACGTAACCTGAAAGTAATTCTCAAGCTCAGGTAGGGTTGAGTTGATTTATGACTACGATTTTCTTTAGTATGCTATATCTAATAAAATAGATAAAACAACAAGAGGTGAATATTACCAACAAACGCTGGAAGGCTGTTCAGTAAAGTGCATTGCTAGCCAACCACCTGATTCATCACAGATAACTTGAGGAGATGCAATGGTAAAAGCCGGAGATGCTTTCTTTCATGCTGAAATGCAGCATATAATACTATTTGCGCATCTTATTCACAGGAATGGGACGAGTTTTGCTCTTAAAGAGCTCTTAAGAGTGGCGGGCC